ATTGCTGTAGTCTCATCTTCTCTAAAATTTCATATAAATAGGGCCTCCCTGATGGCACAGGCCATTGAGCGTGGTGCTGTAAAGCTGTCTGAAGCCTCTGCAGCACGGGTTTGATCCCGGCCAGCTAGGGAGATACCCACATGGCGTGGCAAACCTCTCCTGTCTCACCCGCTTCTCCCCTCAGCAGTGTGTTGTGGTCAGTCTTCCTGTTCTGTTCCCCGTGCTGTCTCTGGTGAATTCTCTCACCTGCACATCTGGCCTGTACCCCGGTTCTTATATGTGTGAATAAATAAATCTTAAAAAAAATTCATATAAATAGAATCATACATTTAGTCTTCTGCTTGACTTCTTTTGCATAGTGTAATGTGTTTGAGGCTTACTTTTATAGGTGTATTTATCAGTAATTCTTTCCCTTTTATTACTGAATATTATTCCCTAATGTGATACACCAGTTTGTTTATCCATTCACCAGTTGTTGGACATTTGAGTGCTTACAAGTTGGAGGCTATGATGAATATTTACCCTGAATATTCTTGTATATCTCTTTGTGTGGAATTTATGTTTTTAAATATCACTTGGGTAAATACCTATGGATGGATTCCTGGGTCATATGGCAAGTGTTTTTAAATTTATAAGAAACTGGCAAATTATTTTTCAAAGTGCCTATAATTTTGAATTATCCACCAGCATTGTGTGAGAATCCAAATTGCTCTATGAACTTATGAACACTTGGTATTTTTGCCCTTTTAAATTAGCCATTATAATGAATATATAGTGGGCTCTTTATGATTTTATTTTGCTTTTTCCTACTGTTGAGCGTCTCTTTTTGTGCTTACTTGGCATTTATTCTATTTGTTCAAAGTGTTTGTGTTTGTTCAGATCTTGGCTTTTTTAAAAAAATACATTATCTGTTGCTGAGTTTTAATATTCACAAATGTTTGTATGAAGAAAGAAAAAGAAAGTGTTTTGTAGCTGCTGCATTTTCAAGAAAGGAGTCTCTCTCAATGTATATTCTGTTTCCTGATCTCTCTTTTTTTTTTCTTTTGAGGGTGTATATAGATGGATTCTTCCATGATCTGTTGACCTATTTTGATTAACCTGGCCTGCTTCCCAGCATATATAATTTATTGAATGTGCCAAATCATCTTCTCTGGGAAAAAAAAAGAAAAGAAAAAAACATGAAGATTTACTAACTGCCCATCCTAACACGTAGTCCTATAGGTATATTCGTCATGGGCAGACCTTGACTTGTTTGGGTGACTCTGTGAAGGTCTTTCTTAGTGACCTCAGTCTTCATTCCACAGTAGACAAGGACTCTAGCTAATGCTTTTGCCTCTCTTATACCCAGCACAGTGCAGTGTGACTAATGGGAGAGTCAACAAGGACTGTTGATGCAGATAAGCTGCTGATCTGGGTAAATTGAATGCTCTTGAATGATTCCAGAGCTTTAGAGAATAAGAGTGCTTTCTGAACTGATGGATCAAGTACTAAATCATCTTGAATTTCTTACTTTAAATACTGCTTATATAAGCTTCAACTATAAAATACCTACATTTTGCTTGATAGCATTCTATAAAATCTATTTGAAAATGTTTTATAGCAAAGTTATGATCAAAACTTGACTGTGAATAAGAAAGCGAAATTCTATTTTTAGAGTAGATAGATTTATCTAGTTTATACAACCTAAAGAGTATAGCAAGTTTGATTTTAAATTTCTCATGGGCATTAATGGTGCTCTATTAGTGGAGCAAAAGGCAGAGTATGTTCTTACTAATTTTGAGCAGTATTTCGTATTAACATGAAGTTGAGTTGACTCATCAAGTGGTGTTCATGTTGTATAATGTGTAGACATCACCCAAAGCAGTGTTAGTGAAGGCAAAGATAAACAGCTGGGACTACATCAAATTAAAGAGCTCTGTACAGCAAAAGAGACAGTAACATAAACAAAGAGACACCCCATGGATTGGGAGAAAATTTGTGCACACAACACTAATGATAAAGGACTGATCACAAAAATACAAAGAGCTGACGAGACCCAACAAAGCCAAGTAAACAACCCAGTCAAAAAATGGGCAGAAGAGCTAAAAAGAAACTTCTCCAAAAGGGAAATTCAAATGGACAACAGGCATAAGAAAAAATGTTCAACATCATCAACATCACTTGTAATCAGGGAAATGCAAATCAAAACTACCATGAGATACCATCTTACACCAGTGAGTATGGCACATATTAAAAAATCTAGCAACAACAAATGTTGGTGAAGATGTGGAGAAAAAGGAACTGTCCTGCACTGCTGGTGGGAGTGAAAACTGGTCCAGCCACTATGGAGAGCTGTGTGGAGATTCCGCAACCTGCTGAAGATGGAGCTTCCATATGATCCAGCAATTCCACTCCTAGGTATTTGCCAAAAGGACACAGAAACATTAATTCAAAAGGGCACCTGCACCTCTATGTTTATAGCAGCACTATTTACAATAGCTACGGAAACAAGCAAATGCCCAAAAATAGATGACTGGATCAAGAAAATGTGGTGCATATACACAACGGAATATTACTCAGCAATCAAAAAAGTTAAACTCATGCACTTTGCAGCAACATGGATGGAGCTGGAAAGAATAATGCTCAGTGAAATAAGCCAGAAAGAAAAAGAAAAATACTTAATAGTCTCACTCATAGCAGGAATTTAAAAAACCTAAATAAGGGACCAGGAAAAAAACTAATTATAATAAAGTAAAAATCAAAATCAACAAGCAACTATAAAACAGAGACACACTATAGGGTGGTAGAAGGGAGTAGGATCAAAACAAGGGTGGTAGGAATTGTATGGGGACTGTAGCCAAGATGAAAATGCATACATTGTGCAAAAATGAAAAATGATGTAAAAATATATATAAAATAAAAAATTAAAAAATAAACAGAAGTGTAGAAAAATAGATGAATTTATAAGATCTTACAATGTTATTTATGAAAGTAAAATTGGTTATGACAAAACAGAACATTGGATTGGCACCTGGGAACTGAGATCTTAATTGCTTGACATTAGAGAGCTCACTTGACCATTCCGGGCTTTTATTTACTCAGCCATGAAATACGTGAATTAGAGTACTGAACTGTCTGACTGAACTGACTGTTCAGTACTGACTGACCCACCTGTAAGCTTCAAGAATAAATGCTACAGTTATTTTTATTTGGACAATTTTGATTTCAGATAGGAAAATATGAAGGAAATTCCAATTCTGAAGTTCTACATGTGCAGTATTTCCCCCCATCATATGTGTGTGACTTTTTCTAAATCATTAGATTCCAGTTGCAGTTCTTTGTTTTCTTTCTTCAAAAGTGTGAGAAGGAAAAGGCACAAATAGTGATAAAGATAAAGAGGAATTTTGATACATTTTTATTTAGGACAAAACCAACAATAATTGTGGTAAAATCCAATCTTTTTCACTTTGTTATTATGGGTCACAATCAATTTATTTGGGTTCAAATATATTTTGTGTTAAAATTTTTTCATTATCCTATAAGATAGCTGTGATTTTATTTAGTTTAATTCCTGGAACCCCCATATATTTTCCCAGGCAAATAAAATTTTAAAAATATACGTAGTAAGCCTTAAAAAGAGCCAGAGAACTTGGAGTTTATATTTCTATTTACCTCTTTTAACCTGGTACTGATTTTTGCTTTATATTTTTGTTGAACATTGTTAGTTAATGGGCTAGGGAAAGTAGATTGCTTTGAAAGTTTTAAATGTGAGTATCAGGCTTTGTTCTTATTTAAGCAGACATTTCCAGGTTTTCTTTTTATTTATTTTTTTGAAACTACAGAAATATCTAGGTCAAGATTTTCAGCCTTACTATTAATAATAAACTGGCATATCATTCATTACACATCACTCCAGAAAGGAGGTAATGATGGCTGGGGAACCAGCTTCATCCTTAATGAAGTGGTTCTCAGGCATCACCTGTTGAAGACCCAAGTGCCTCCTTAAAATATTTTATTATTGATTACTCCTATAACCATGCAAAATATGCAGTAAATCTCAATAAAAAAGATATCTACTATAGTCAGAGCATTTTCCTTCCCCATCTGCTGGCTCCCACTTTCAAGTAAACAAAGATGTAGCTGTTTGCACTGATGACATAAGATGAAAGCAGATGTAGAGGAGAAGATGGTTAAGTTTTCCACCATGTATTTTCTTTTAGGTTGCCAGATGCTCAGATAACAATCACTTTTAAGATTCATCCAAGTTTCTCCAAATATAGTAAAATAATTTATGTGTCAGACGTGTGGACACTGCTTTTCTCAAAATCCTATTTATTACTCCCTATGTAAAATGCGCTCACATTGTTCTGGGCTAAGCACATGTTGTATTCATTGTTTCCTTCCTGAAAATGAAATGCTATGTGCTCAGAATTGGGGGCTGTATTACCTCCAAGGTCTGCGCTCCCTCCAGGAGAACTAAGATCGGGTTTGTGAGCCTATATCAGAACTGCCTTTGGAGGACAAGACAAGAAAAAGAACCTATTTTGTACTATCTTACTCCCTTGCAAACATTAACAAAGTTTCTTACATATGGTATATCTGTCACCCGCCCCGGCCCCCCAGTTCTGGTTGTTTGTGAGAAGGCCACATCGATTTGGTGGTTTTGTGAATAGGAAGACTGACAGGTCCCGTTGGGGAGTTTGTTTGGGGTGACACAAAACCACATTGGGTGTCTCCAGGCTAATGATGGTACCATTAAATGTTTCCTATTAAATACACCAAAAAAAAAAAAAAGTCTGCCTTATAGTTTGAGTTAGGTTTCTTCTGGAAGAAGTTAAAGGGGCAGTTATAGTAGAAAGGAGGTTTTGAATCCATTTTTTCCCAGGATATATTAGGATATACTATTTCCCAGGATATACTATGTCTGTAATTCAGTGAAAGTTGGTTTCTTTTTAATGATACTTGAAAATAAATCACTTACACTTCAAAATAATTTTTAATTCACTTTTTTTTCCCTTCAGAAATCCCTCATTGGACGTCTCGAGCAGTTATCCTGATTTTACTAAATCTAGAGTTGGAAGTTATCAAGACCTTGAAAGCAAAGTAAAAGGTAATTATACTTTAAAAAACATTGTTAAATCCATGTGTAACTGATGATCATAAAGTACATAGTACCTTTTATTTGTTCAGTGCAATTCAGGGTACCCCTTTGGCCCCACTCATTCCTATTTCATGTGTTCTCCTTTACCATTCCTCCCGCCTTCTCCCACTCTGTTTTCTCTTCTCTTCTCTGCTACTCTCTCCTCTCCTATTTCTCGTCCTCCCTTCTTTATTTAGCATATGATGAGAAGTCTGTCCTGTGCTGGTCACTCTCCTGGGCATGCACTTCACCCTCATAGCTCATGCCTTGGCAGGAATGGAGCTATCAGCAGAAACGTGGAGTCCCCGTACTGCCCACCTGCTGGTCTGCTGAGAGGCTGGGTCCTGCCCCTGACTCTACAGGACCCTTTAGCCCATTGTCCTAAAATGCATGAACTTCTTCCGGATCTCTCTGAAGTTGCTTGGATTCTTGGTTGCGTAACTTTTTTCTGAGAATTCTATGGGTGTTTAGCCTCCCCAGTTTGGACTATTAGAATCACAGTCACTCATGGGGATAAATAAAGCAACATCAGTGTTCTGGGGAATTTGTAAATATTCTCACTTGGTGAGAGACCTGGAATAAGAGAATGCCCTCCGGTCTGAGACTTGGCTTACTACCCTCTCTTTGAACTTTTGTTAATCTCCTTACAATTCTTACAAGTGACCACCTACCCCTTCTGGATACCCCAGCCCTCCAAAAACCACACACACTATATATGAAAGCAGTTTCCACAATTCCAGCAACCCATATCCCACAATTTACTCACTGGGTTGTCTGTTTTTGTTTATTCCTGGCTTGTTTAGCTTAGTAATGGATAGCCTGTTGCAACCAGGCACTCAATGGGCCATGGTAACTTACCACTTGATGGTCCTTATGAGGACATCCAAACCAAGGTTTTTGTTTTTGTTTTCTTTATTCTGGAAGCCTCTGGGCCGCATGCTCTGGTACCATTGAGCTATGCCAGCTCTGAAGCAGGACTTTAGTTTCTTTATGGTGCATTCCTTCAAGGAAACATGCAGAGGGGAATCCTAGCCAAACTGATCAGTTGACTTGTGACCTGCCTATGGCCAAAACAGTCTGCTCCCCAACCTGTTATTATTGTTGTAGTTTTTTTCATCAAGATGGTAGGTCTGCGGCGCCATACTGCTTAGTGGGTACAAGTGTGGCTTTTGGCATTAGGAAGATCAGCATCAGGCCTCTGCCACATAAAACATACATGAAACTGGGAAAGCTATTTAATCTCTATGCCATAGTTTCTTCATCTGTCAAGTCAGGATTTCATCATTCCTATATCATAGGACTGTTGTGAGCATGAAGTAAGTGAGTTGCTATAGGCACATGGGAAACTAATCCATGGGAATAGTTTTTGTTACTGTTGTCATCTGCATAATGGAGATAATATCTGCTTCTTATGATTAGTTATAAGATTGAAATGAGGTGGTATACGTGCATACATTGTGTCTGTCATATACTACGCATTGAATAAGTGGTAGTCAGGGCTCAGCGATAACGGTAAAATAACAATAGCATTATCAGCAGATGTGTTCAGAATGGGAGAGACAGAGTGATTCTGAATGCTGGTGAATATCTAATGGTGGTGGCAGGAATGACTGCAAGTTCCACTTCTCAAGAAGACATATATATTGACAATTTACATTATTTAAAATCTCATCATTAGTTTGTTAAATCATTGTCTACATTTTGGTCACAAAAGTCAATGCACAAAGGTTTTGGTTATGATTAACTATTAGAGTGAATAGTAGGTATAGACTCCTAAAATCCTTCTATTAGTGTCAGCTTTTTAGTTATAAAGAACAGTATTTTCTTATGAAATTTTGAAACTAATGTAAGAATAAAGAAAATCGATCTTAAATAGCATTGGAATCCATTAACGTACATGTCTATGTATTATTATTTTGGTTTCTCTCATTTAAAACTTTCCTTTCATCTTTCCTAAGTGTGAGTATACTGAATTCTTATCACCCATGCTGTGTAGTTATTTCAAACTATAAGAGGGGGAGCAAACTGAAATCTATTAACATTTGAGTCTAATTTACCTAAATAAATGAGGCCTGAACCCAACCCACATTTGAAATGGTATATTAGAGAATTTTCTTACCATTCATTTTATGTAGTTACTTTCGTACACTTTGAAACAAGTGACATTTGTTGGCTAATGAGAATCCTTTAAAGAAATGTGTGTGCGGGTCCTCCAGTGGCGCAGCGGTTGAGTGCTGGGTTGCAAGGCTACCCACAGCCTCTACAGTGCGGGTTTGATCCCCAGCCCACATGGCGCGCAGACCTGTCCTGCCGCACGCACGCTGCTCCCCTCAGCCAGTTCTGCTCTCCGCTCTGGCTCTGGTGAATTCTCTCACCCTCCCGCGCTTCTGACTATACCCGGTGCTTGTATAAATAAATAAATAAATCTTTAAAAAAAAAAAAAAGAAAAAAGAAATGTGTGTGCAATTCAAGCAACTGTTGAGTCACCTTCGAAAGTGAATATACTTGAACCCTCTGGAGACAGAGACCTGCCTGCTACCTCTGCTCCCAGGCCTGGCACTGCTCATGTTGGGCCATGAAGGAAAGAACTGAAAATACAGCAGGAAAACTGGAGAACTGAAAATGCTTCTGTTACAATGTCACAATGATGATTTTTCAATTTGCCTTTAGTATTAATGTGATACAGTTTAAACTATAAAGACTTCTCAGTGGGAGGGATACTTTGTGCGTGTTTACATGCAGGAAACTAATTCTTTGTTCTATCCTAAGTTTAGGATGCTGATGAACTGGAGTCTTTCTCTGCTTTCCTTCTGTCCTCCCTCCCCAAGGGCCCCTTCCTCCCTACTCCCCTCTTCCCTATCTGCTCTTCCTACCCCCCCCCACTTCCTGCCTCCTTATGAGATGGACCTTGAACAGACTCTTTCCATTCATGATTTCAGAGCGTCCCTGGGCAGTGTTGGGTTGCTTCTTCAGGGGTCTTACTGAGAATTCAAACTAACAGTATCCCTTAAACGGTCACAATTGTGACTTGTGTTCCTGTAGACCAGGAGGGGGCAATCAGCCACTCTGTTGGGAGCCACAGTGGGACATTTCTAATAGTGACTTAAATTCACCTCCTAGAGTAGACTTTCAGTGCCTTCTGCTGCATCTTTTCTCAGCTAATTTGGCAAGAAATTCTTCCTCTATTAACATCACCATTTCTGGCAGAGAACAGTATTGTGGATTCACAGGAAAAGCAAGACTCAGCCAGTTTTTGTGTTCTGTTTGAAAGCAAGACTTATTTTCTTATCTGCCAATCCTCATTCCTCCTGGTAGAAATCTAGCACTGTGGCTTCTGAAAGTGCTTAGTGTTCTTCCCAACAGTAGACATTAGAATCTTTTCATCATCACTTTTCTTTTTTTTTTTTTGCAAAATTTGTACAACTTAAAAAATTTGACTTTGTTACATGGTTGTAAGTAGGTTATGTTTTGTTCTGAGATTAAACAAATAAAAATGATGCAGCTTCATTTCAAAATTTGCAACAATGCCCAGTGAACATTTCTGAAGACGGGAGGACTGTTTCATTGCTGCTCTGAATGGGATAGTGAGTACTGCCAACCATACAGCCCACACCCCAAGGGAAACCTTTTGCTTAAAATTTCCTGGTGTTTGCCTCCTTATTTGCTGTTACCATTTCCCTGGCCTTAATCCCATCAAAGAGCAACCCAATGAAGCATATGTTTATGTATAGTAGGAGACAGTTCTTCAAACCCTAAGAATTTGAATTTTTCTTCTGCAAGTACTGGTGCCCTGCATTTTTGAATGAATGTAATATAAATTTGGACTTTCCTAGACTAAATTTCTCTGAATGACATCCAGTCGTACTTTTATTTTTACCTTTTTTTAATTGAAGGAGAAAAATCACCTGATGGTATGACATCTGGTTAGTGATAGATTTTTTCACATGTTAATGGAATTACTATATAATGGGTTAAAAATTTCTCCCCAACATAGCCTATAGTCCCAGGCTCTTATTAACCTACAAAGCCTGTAATCTACACTAAATGAATTCTAACTGTTACATAAGATGTTTTTAAGAAACAACAATAGCTTAGTACTACTTGGGGGTTTTATACACAAATGTATTATGCCACTTTCCTTCTTTAGAAATAAATGTGTTTATTGTATTAACTAAAACTATTTCCAATTAAAGTCACATAAGTCAGTCATAGTGATGGAATTCTGCTTTAATGAGGAGTTTTGTTTAGAATCTTATATTTTTTTTAGTAGCATCTGTTTTAAGTAATACCATTCTTGGCTGTGGCTTTTGGTTTGTTTCTGAAGTTAGTGAGAGTTGGAAAGCAGGCATTCTTTCTCTCCTCCTTGCTCAGGAGGGCTGCACCTGTTTATCTTGATTCCCTTCTCTCTCCACCCACAGCAGGTAGCATTTCATCTCAGAAGCTTCTCTTCTTTCGTTGGTCTCTGTCATCTGAACTGATAGGCATCACCGAAGTGTGACACAAGCAGAGACTGTCTGGGTTTGAAATGCAGGGTATGTGGGATCCAGTGAATTCTAGATTGTTCTGACATAGTAGCTCACACAACGTTTGTTTCTAACTCTTCAAAGGTACTAGTAGGAGGATAATTGTCCCTGTTGAAATACTGTGTAGTGGTTCCTGATGCATTGTAGCCTCCTTCTGCTTAACTTTTAAACCCAAGGTATTGTTCCCTCTGGGTCAGCTGCCACCACTTCTTCCATTTAGCTTGGGACATTAGTAATGACTCCTTTTACTTTACTCAGACCTCGGTTGTGTTTTGCATATAGAATTTTGAAGTGTTTAAGATAAGGTGATGCAAACTTAACATTAACTCCCTGAGTTTACATAGGAGAAAACTGAGACATTTTAAAGTTGCCTTTCTTTATTATATTTATAAGAATATAGTGAATATATATTTTTCTATTATTCTTTTTTTTAACTTTTTTTTAAAG